GGCTGGATTTTACCGCGCAAGTATTTCAAGGAAAACCGTTTAGAAGATGGCTGGAAGATGATGGAGAAGTTGACTGTCTCTGTTCGGTAAATGGTTCAGAATCAGATCTATACTGCTGGTTTTCAGTAGCAATGGCAAAAACAACATCGTTTATCGGTGATTTACCTATTTACAGCGCAGGTTTTACGCACATATTGTAAGTTACAATATGTGCGTAAAACCTTCGTCTATAGTGTATGAAACGGTTACAATTTGTAACCGTTTCATACACTATAGACGAAGGGGTTTATGTACGGGAAAGAAGCCTTGTAGCGTTTGTAGTAACTATTTACTACTCGTACTTGCAAGCACAAAAAGCACTGGATGCACCACGCTGCAAGCGGCCTCCCGTTTACAATCTGAAGGTCTAACATAAGATTACGGTTGCAACATACATACTAGAAGCTATACTGTAAATGATTTTTTTAGAGAGTTACATAGTCTATTATCAATTACGGTAGCGGCGCTTACAAGGTAGGCCACAGAGTGTGGTGTACGGAAATTTGCATACACACTGCGCGATATACACGGCTGCGTGTGTAAGCGCCGCAACAGTAACACTTTTCGAAGTTCTAATTTTTTGTTACTAGCTTGCTAGTGGCAGTAATAATAAGAAAATTCATTTAGGAGGATGTATCCAAAATATGATCTTTTTCGCTATCTTCAACTAACGGACCAGGCAACGTCTGCCTCTATAGCGCTGCACCGACGAGTGATGAATTGGGTTGATCAGCTACTGGAAGCAGAACTGGGATTGGTAGGACCGCAACCGGGGAAAATAGAAACGGAGGGACAGCGACCGACGAAAAAGGAACTGGAAGCATTAGCTGCTCGCATAAGTTGTCCGGTCCTCCGTTACTGTCAAGAGGCCAAAGAAATCGTTGTTGTTTTGTTTGGTGAAAAGTCGAAGGAGGTTCAGAAAGCCGATACTGTACTGGAGGGAGTGGCTGCACTTTTTGGTCAAATCGAGCAGATTTTCGCGAGAGTTGGTCAAAATAAATTTAAATTATGAATGTGTTATTACGTTTGACTATACTTTAAATTTAAGATTTTCATTTCTTTTTCCCGAATTCCAATCAGTCGCTGTTAACTGTATCATATCGGGAGGTGATGGATTTCCGAACTGGTATCTAATACCGTAATACGTACTTAATAACTCTCCTCACAGTGCATTCACTGACAGTGGCCGGTTATCCATTTACTGTACTACTTACTGTGCCTGATTTCCTTAACGGGCGGAGGAAAATTGTGTTTACTGAATTCTACAGCCCTGATTTAACCGAATTACGGTCTTGGTGTCTTTACCGTATAAAATTCTGCTCTATACTTAACGGGGACGAACCGAAAACAGATCACTAATTCAAAAAAATGTCTGTGTTACGGAAGTGGAAAATAGTAATATGTTCTTACTACGCGTTTTGCTTCTTTATTACGTCACTTCCTTATTGTATCATCACGCTAGTGCATTGGATTTCTCGCAACGTGGATGTGAACATAATGCATCAGTCGTACCTGGAAAGAACAAGGACGATTTTAAACCCACAAAAAGGGAAACCGGTAAAATTGTAATCGGCGGTACTGAAAAACAATCTACTTACTGAAAAATCAAAGCAGTTAGGAACGATGTGATTTTTATTTCATAAAATACTGAAGGTACAATTTTTTATTTCATAAAATACTGAAGGTACCCCAGTCTAGACCAGAAGCCGGAATTTGGTTGAACGCCTTGCCGTCCGCTCACATTGGCAATCTACTGGGCGACGACGAACTGAAGATCAGCATCGGCCTCCGACTCGGCGCCACGATCTGTGAACCGCACGACTGCGTCAAATGCCACAAACCCGTTGGTGGTTACGGGCACCATGGGTTATCGTGTGTTTTCTCCGCCGGACGGCATCCGCGCCACGGCGGGTTAAACAGCATCATTTGTAGGGCCTTTGTATCCGCTGGTGTTCCCGCAAAACTGGAGCCGCGCGGCACATCTCACACAAACGAACGTCGCCCGGATGGCTGCACGACATTCGCCTGGAAGCGCGGATTGTGTCTTGCATGGGACGTGACATGTGTAGACACGGTTGCGCTGTCGCATCTTAAAGCCACTTCCACAACAGCGGGAGCGGCCGCTGCGCAGGCAGAAGGAAAGAAAGCAGGACTATATTTCTATCTGACCGGCCGCTACCTATTCGTCCCGATCGCTTTCGAAACACTGGGCCCGTGGGGCCCTTCGGCGATCGCCATCATCAGAGAGCTGGGAAAAAGACTGCAGCAGCACACCAGGGAAGCACGCTCGCACGAATTTCTGCGAAAGCGTCTGTGCATCGAAATTCAGCGGGGAAATGCGGCTTCAGTGCTGGGCACGATGGAAGGGCTAGATAAACTAAACGAAATTTTCCTGTTATAGTCTAATGTGTTCCTTTTCTTGCTTATGCATTGCGTTTTTGATTTGACCAATAAAGTCCAGAGTAGGTACAATACACTGAACATAGAACAAAGAAAGTTACAGTAATCACACACAGCAACAGTTAATCACAGTTACGAACAGCCAACAGCTGAACTCACCTGAACAGCTGAACAGCGTTAGCCTGATTGGATTCCGGAGTAACGCCTACCGTACGTGACACGCAGATTGGTGCAATCTTCACGGCGTACACTTACAGTACACGCACTCACTTCATGCACATTTAATACGTGTTTTTAAATTCATTTTAAAATCCAAGTCTTGCTGCGTCTTCTATCGTTCTTAATTTTAGCATTGATATGTAGAAAGCGCATTTCGTAAAAAGGTAACCGTTTAGTCGAAACAGTACTTGTTGCACTTTTCGTCATGACTGCAGCACCTGCACACTCACAGCAGTCACTAATTCTCTCAGCCTCCTGACTGTATTAGGTTTATGATTTTGATATTTTTTCAACTAGCACAGCTTTTACCCAATCGCTTCGGATTAATTTTTTGGACTGTGGTGGAATGGAGACCCAGGAATCTGTACCGAGCACTGAGAAGCGTTCCTTCGCTCCTGGCGATGTTGTCATGGCCTGTGATCCTTTGGTGTGGGTCTTGGAGCGCAGCGCGTACAAAACCCACTGTGCGTTTTGCTTGAAGGATGGCCAGGGATTGCGAAAACCGCTGTAGCACTGCTCCCTTCATGCCGTAGTCAAGAAGCTTGGCCAACAGTTTTTTGTGCCAAACGGATTCAAATGCTTTTTTCAGATCAAGAAAACAGACTGCTGTGACTCCACTGGCGTCTATGTTTTTAGGCCAGTCTTCCGTCACTTAAAATAGAAGCGTTTCACATGAATGGCCATTGCGGAATCCGGACTGGTGCTCGGAAAGCATATTGTGCGCTTTGACCATCTTTACCAGCTGCAACTGCACAACCTTTTCAAACACCTTTGACAAATTGCTCAGCAGAAAAACCGGCCGGAAGTCATCTGGTGTAGTTGGGCTGTTTGATTTTTGAAGAGCAGTCACATCCGCCTGTTTAAAAATCTCCGGATAAATGCCACGCGCCAGCGGCAGCTTAACCATTTCTCTTAATGGTCCGGAAATTAGTGGTACCATCAGTGGTATCAATCGGCTGGGCAACCCATTTGGTCCGGTACTTTTTTTTGACAGAAATCTGGCGGAGAATAGACGAGACAACGTCCCATGACACAGGTTCAGAACTGGAGAAGGCTTCGTTAGCACAACCGCCCACAGGTGGCGTCGTAGGGGTAGAATGGTCGTTTCCGTGCAGGCCTTGTGTAACAAAGTGTCTGTTCTGAGACTCAGGGTCTAGTGGTTCTGCAGTGTGTTTCTTAGACTTGCGAAGAAGTCTATTTAACACCTGCCATACTTTTTTCCCTTGGAGTTTGTTCTCTTCGAAATACTTCAGTTTGGCCTCGGCAATAGATTTACGTACGGCATTCTTTATCACTTTGTATTGTTCAGCGAACGTCGAAAATAGCGGTGTTCCACGTGACTGACACTTAGGGCGGTAGGCTTCGTCTTTATCTTCTATTAGGGTTTTGACTTCCGAGTTCATAATAAACTCCAAAGTCAGATGCAAGAAATGGCAATAAATTGCATAACGATTGTTTTGAAGTCGCAGCAAATAAATTACAAAATAATATCATGTGCAAATATTCAGTTGTTAACTTCACCAGTGATATCGGATAGAAATCCAAACGGGAGTACGGCGGTAAAACATTATAAACTGCTCGTAGCCATCTCTCTCGCACTGTTCCCGTTGAGAATGTCGTATAATAAGCTCCAAGTTCAGATGCAAGTAATGGCAATAAATTGCATAACGGTTGTTTTAAAGTCGCAGCAAATCATTTACAAAATAATCAGAAAATGTTAAAAGAATGCCATAAAATGCGGTATATTTTCTCAACAGACAAACAAACTGTTTGCTCGGCTGGCCGGAAGTCGAATCATCATCGACGAAACTGACTCTGAGGCTGACCGCCTTCAGACAGAAAACGATCGCCTTAACGACGACATGTCCAAGCTGCAGGACGAGATTAACCGCTTGCGCAACGGATATCACCTGCTGTATGAGAATCATCAAACTCTCGTTCAAATGACCCAACAAGGAGGACTACTGGACCAAACGGTTCAATGAACCTTAACCTGAGCCCACATCTGGTCTCAGGTCAGGCCCCAGCAAGCGGCACGGACTCAAACCGGACCAACCCGCTGAGCCCAATGTCAGGGCCATCAGCCACACAGTAACAAACAGGAGGCCAAAGTAACACACCAACAGTGCAACAGCCAATCCATAGGCCAACCCAGCTTAATTGGTCCTCCTATCCTAGCGGCAGCCCCAACGGGCCAAGCCCAACCATAGCCAGGCCAGAATGTGCCCAACCCACCCGCCTCACCGCCAACGGCGGCGACGCTACCCGGACCGGCAGCTCAGCCAAACCAGGGCCAGAATGCGCTCGTGTTGCTTCAGCTGCCAAATGGAGCATGCGGGTGGATGGCGTCCAACGGAGCCATCCAATACCCGCCTCAATTGTTGTTGAACCCTCAGCAGGGGCATCAGCCGGGCGCAGCGCCACAGGCACTGCAGCAACCGCCACAAGTTATGGTACAGCAGATAACGCCTGCACCGTCGCCAGGGCCAGTGCGCCAGTTCATGATTTGGTACACATGTAGATGTTGGCTGACTCGTATGCGAAGGCTAATGCAAAGGCTTTTGCCCGGACCACCCAGCCGACCTTCGACGGCGACAAGACAGCCGTGAAAGGGTGGATTCCCCAGATCAGAAGGATCTGCAAGCAGTCGTCCGACTTTATCAAGCCGGACCCGGACTTCATGAGCCGCATCTTCGCATCCTTGTCCAAACCGGTCAAGGAATGGTACACTGGCCAGGTAAAGCGTGAAGAAGGCGACGGCTGAACAGTCGACGAGTGGCCTCTGAAGTTTGCCGCTCGATACGACGACGAGAACCAACAGGCCAATGCTCTTAAAGATATCTCCCACCGTACCTCCTGGCACGGTTTCGAAACGCCAGAGCAATACTATGACGCAATCCTAACTCCAGGCACGCACCAACTTAGTCGACACCATGACTCTTCATTTCCTGAAGACCAATATGACTGAGCCAAAACTGCACCGTGCCCTGGACATCCGGCTGCCGAAGTCGCCGACAGAATTTCGGGACTATATTTAGCAGTTTATGGTAGGTAAACCTGAATACGGCTGCAAGGCGGGCCAAGGATACCGGCCATCCGGACGGCCGCACTAACGCCAGAACAGCCAACATCACCGGCTTACTATCCTCCACAGACGCTAACACCAACCCAAGCCCAAGTTGAAGCTACATATGCCGCTATCGCGGCTCTGAAGTTGGGATCCCCACAACGCGGATCCACACTGCCTAACGGTGGTGGTGGTGGCTAAGGCCAGGCCCAGAACTAGGGCAATTTTGGCTGTAGCCAGGGCAACGGTGGCGGTGGAGGACAAAGAGGCGGATATTCCGGAGACCAAGACGCCAGCTCAGCTGGAAGCGTGACGGCGGCGATAGTGGCTCCGGACGACTTGGCCAAGGAGGCAGCGCAGGCCAGAGCGGCAAACCCCAAGCAGCAAACTCCAAAGAGGCCCGCAAACAAGAGGTCATGTACATCGCTCGGATCGAGCACATGTTCGAACGGTGGACCAGAGACGGAACCATAACTTGCAACTACTGTCTCTGGGGAAATCACAAAACTTAAGGATGCGGCAACGGCAATAGAGATTACATGGACATTCCTAATTGCATATGGTACCTTGATTGGCGGAGTGATACCAGAAGGGATTCCCGACAGGGGCACTAAATCCCAACCGTTTCGGCTTTGTGCCACCCAAACAACCCCGACCACAACGCGGCAACGGGGGAATGGTAGCCGAAGGCAGTCCACCGACTCAGGAAATGGGAACGGTGGCGGAAACGACAAAGCGGCGCAGAACGGTATGGAGCGCGGGGATTACAAACACCCGCCAACGAAAGCACCGCCTTTCCGCCATTGACCGATCAGCAGTTGAAGCCAAACAACAACGGCGGGGGCTCTACCCGGGCCAGCCCAACTGCGGGAAACGCCTAAAATCAGGGAGCAACGGCAACCCACCTAACCTATAACCGGAAGTAAAACTGCCGGATATACCTAACCCTCCTGTACAGTCACTAAGCGCAATGGAGCCCAAACCGGCCGCCCAACGGCCCGCCGGCGGATCTTATTTTAGCACCCAACCGGTGACGAAGCCACATGACCCAAGAAGTGCGGTCATGCCAGGACGTGTTGAAGTCGCGCCTGAACCATCAGGCTCAAGAAGTGAGCCCAGACGGACAGTCGTCCATTCGGCGACCTAATCGATTTTAGGAGCCCCATTTAACCCTAAGGCCAACCGATAACGTGGGAACGCGAGACGTCGCACACCAAACTTGACGTATCCTAGATCGGAGTCAGAAACATCCTCCGACTGCGCATCGGAAGGATGGTCCGTAGGAAGCATGAACAGTGAGGTCGACCCACCACAAAAGTGAAGAGCCGAACCTCTTGAGGCGTAAATTTCTTTCTGAAACCCTAAAAATATATTTACGACCCTACGGGAACCGGAAACATTAAAGTCTGGAAGCTTAGTCCAACTAGAGCTCCGCAAGGACCGGGACTAGCGTCGCTAATCCCCATTTTACCGGTGATGCGGGAAGTGACAGTTGGTCTCGACGAGACCAACTTAACCGAAAACCGTCAAAGCATGGACACACAAAGTCCAAATCGGACCAGTCCACACGCTCGCTATGTTGAAAACTAGAGCGGAAACCTACCTCATTAGCCAGCAGTTCTGCACAACCAATGGCATCAAAACGGAGCCATTGTGGCGGAACAGCAAAATCCTTGGTGTTGGCGGGCAGACCGCCTTTGTGGTCTCTCACTGCTGCACCGTACCGGTGACTCTGCAGGGATATAAGAGCCAGCACACGTTCTTCGTCCAACCAACGTTAACGGACGTGCAGGTTCTACTTGGTTTTGCCTATCTCCACTCCAAGTTCAGTTTTATCCTCAAGCCAAACAGAGATATCGCTTGGGACGCGGTAAAGTCTATCCCGATACCAGAGGCACCGGGACCCGATGATGAAGTGAGATTCAACCGGCTTGATCACCGGACAACTCCTGCTTCTACCTGCTGAGAATGCCTGGATACCGTTGAGAGAATCATTTGGGAACTGCGCGTCTATAATGCAATTGAGCGCTTCTTCGAACAATTTTGCGCAGGCATACTCAAGCCAAATAACGGGATAGTACACACTATCCCGATACCAGAGGCACCGGGTTAACGGCCGATGCCTGACAGAGAACTCAAGGGGAAACTGGTCCAGCGATACAAAACATGGTTCACGGAGTGAGAAATGTCCTTGAATACCGCGGTGACCAACTCCTTGCCCTAGTAAATGGATGGCTAGAAGAAACAGGTGCACCACTAACGTGGGCGCAGATAGCCGAACAATATGGACCATTCGTCCAAGAACTGGACAATCTCTAAGAAGAGGGAGCACTATGAGAAAACAAACATCTAGCCCTATTTTGGGACTACAGAGAATACCACATGGGAACTCCGAAGCACTCCAACGGATGTGCTCGAACCTCTTCAGTGACATAACAAAACTTAGAAAGAAATTGGCCCAACATCCTGGCGTAACCGCCAACATATGGCCAAAGTACGACTTGGGCCTGACCAACGTCAGAACCATACCGGAACCATTGCCAGAAGCAGCACTACACGCGGCAACCAGAGTGCGCTTCAGTAGCGGCCCACATCCTGAACAGGGCCGACGAAGGGACACCAGCAACGAAATGCAGATCTCTGGCATTAGTGTCCCCATACCGGACAACTATGAATTCACTCCGGCATTAATGTCCCCTATGCCGGATAACTATGAATTCGTTTCGGAATTAATGTCCCCCATGCCGGACAACTATGAATTCGTTCCGGCAATAATGTCCTCCATGCCGGACACCACTAAATTCGTTCCGGCAATAATGTCCCATGTTGGTTAACAAGAGAATTGTTGTAATGTAGCAGTAATGTTCATTGGGTCACCATTTATCACAGTTGTTTTTCATTGGTAACGCTGGTGGCGGTTTTTCATAGGTAAAGGTTGACCTAAAAATCAGCTTTCTATGGTAGGTCCCCCATGTCATCATTCTGGCTGAAGGGTTACTGTTTTGGCGATGGTGGCAGGGAGAACAAATGTCCGGGGAGAATGGGGGGACATTTTTGCCAGTCAAACAAGTACTTATCTCATACGGGTCACATCTTTTCAGAAATTTCATCCTCGGTATCAGCCGTAGTCCAGTGGCTCTGCTGTATATTGCTGCGTTCAGACAGGTTCTAAAGGTGTTTATTGAGCAGGATTATTTAATTTGATGTAAAATTTGTTAAAAATTTGTTCCCGGTGATATTTAGCTGACATTTATTTAGCTTTTACAGCTCTGCTCCACCACACGCGGGCAGTTGCACAAAACAATTTACAAATACTTATATGCATCGTTATGTTTTCCTATTTGCATGTTTATGGTGTAACTTTTTAATGCGGATTCAAGAATACTCAAATTTGAATTCTTTGATGTGTCGATAATTGCTCAAGTGGAGATTAAGGGAAAGCGTAGTGGTCATTTTTACTTTGCCTATAAATCCTGCTCTAAAACCGTCATCAAACACAGATTACCGAAGGTTAAAATTATTGTTAATTTTGCCGTTAATCTGAAGGCCATAGCAAAACGCAACTTAACTATTACCGTTCCTCACCAAATCCAGCGCCGTTGAAGCATTCTCTTTAAGCCAACAATAATTAAAGACAATGAGGCAGTTCCCATGGAATCCAGGTAGAAGAACCAAAACCAACCCCTGCCGTCCTTTCTCCAGGATCCATCACAGTGGAAACTTCCGACAAACGAGATTTCGATGCAAGCATTCAGGGCCTCTCCGACAGCAAAAGACGGGAACAGAATACCATCTGGATGACACCCTTGCCGCATTGTAGCGAATATCGTCAGCAACACAGCGAAGATGCCGGATATAGACGATGTCCACAAAAACTCACAAAACATGGTGACGTTGCGGAAATTTTTAGAGTTTCACCTCCTCTATTAGCTTTCAGCAAAAACTTAAATTTTGCAAATAAAATTGCGTTACCTAGAATGAGTTTTTTGTGTGAACACTTTTACCTCTAGCCAACACACTTTAAAGCCTCTTGTTTTTGGCAACCAAATGAACCAATCTGGTATGGGGCAAAATAGCCGAAAGGATGAACTGGGGTAAAATAGCCAATAGGTTATCCAACCCCAGACTGGGGCAAAATAGCCAACCAGCTGCTCCGCCCCCATTAGGCAGTACTGGGGCTAAATAGCCTTAGCCTATTTAGAAGCTGGGCGGCTGTGCCTCAAATTAATCCTTTTTTGCCTGGTTTATGTAGTACAAGTAGGCAGAAGGTAGGTACTAGGTAGACTCGGTTTTGGATGTTGGGAAGATAGCTGATGCGGAAAGTTCTCGATATTATGAAAGAGACATACGTTGAAGTTTGGCTTATGATTTTTAACTTTCACTCCAGCAACACTGAAAAAGTGTTACAACGTCTGCGGTTCCTAATACCGTGCTTAAAATGTACAGTAACCGGAAGCTCGGGGTTGTATCTGATATGCCGTTCTGCAGGCCATGTTGGCGGAATTAATTGTCTTTTTGATGAACTGCGCAGGAGGGTGGATTTAGAAACAAAGCATGATTGATCTTGTTGCCGCTTCTGTACGCTCTGCGGATGCTACGAACAAATTGAGCAACGTAACAACCGCTGTGCTTCCGTTGTTGCTCCCGTTTGGTCACGTTACTACAGGATC